CAAATATAACACCAATATAAAACAAGTTCCGTTAGAATAAACGTCTCTTTTGGTCATACTTAGTACGTTAACTACGGACTTAGCTGTGTAAAGATAGCTGCTGCAATACACGGTTTGATACAAACTATTTCCCAAAATGAAAACAAGGTCCAGTGGAACAAAAGCATTTTCTGACATACGTGGTATATACGATCAAGGTCTTCTAGGAACCAAATCCACCCTCCGGACCAGCACTGCGTCGTAGTCAAGCCGGCTTCTGACTCATGGATTATCTTGGAATTGCGATGTCCCGTTTTAGGTCTATAATATTCGAGCTAAGATAAAACCCCAAGTGCCCATCCCAAATCCTATTTATATATTAGAGGCACAGGATAAGGCAAAATCTAGAAAAAACATCCAGAGCCAGATTGCAACTTCAAATGGCGTTGAAACGTAAAAATACGACACATAGGACCTACTGTTTTTTTATTTTTATATTTAAATCGTTCCATATATAAATAAAATACAGTTTTGTCTGTAGGCCTACATTTCTTAGAATCATGCAGTTTCTGGTTACATTATGTTTCATAGCCAAAGAAAGTCGAAACGAGTCTTATCTCAATTTCTGTCTGTCTGTCCATTCTTTCATTCTGTCAGTGACGCCAAAATGTCATTTTACGCGGTCTACTCCTAGAAAACTAGAATACCGACCAAGGTTCAAATCATTTTTCTGTATTTACTGGATTAGTGAGTTTCTTTGGCTATAAAAACATGGCCCCACTTCCTTGAAAACAAAATAACGAACCATCAAAACCCCAATTTTGTTCGATTTTTGTCAAATTTTCTTCCAATGTTTACTATTAAACTTTTATGAAATAACGACCAGCCATTTGGATTAGTTCTCACTTCTAGCTGTCACATATGATACGTTTACATTAAATACTGTTTACAAATACCACAACCATTTCTGATCAAGTTTTGTAGGCACATCCAAACCAAGTGGGATTAAAAACGTTGTTGCCTTACTTAGCCGGTTTAATTAATCGCAAGTGCAACGATTGTTCTTGAGTTTTGATAACCGGGAAAAGGCCGTGAATCAGTGTTGTATAGTGCTCAGTGCTGGGAATATACCGATCATCGTTTAGAGATTACGTAATCTTTCAAATAAGAACCCTTTGTTTGGATAAGGGTTTTTCTTCAAACTGTCATTAATATGTTAACATTAAAAGCTGCTTACAAATAATGCTATTAATGGGAAATAACTTTGATTTTCGAAAAAAAATCCAAAACCAAAGGGGATTAATAACTTTGATACTGTTTGAATAGGTTTGAATAGGCGAAACATGTTGTGAGTTCTACTTACTACAATTGAACTGTTGACGTAAAGGTACGTACCTCATATTTGTCTAATTAATCAGTTCAGGGGCTACATCATGAATTTTAATTTTACTTCGATACTGATACCAAGATACCACATCAAGTGAAAGATTTTTTGGGCAAACCATAATAAATTTTTAAAGCTTTACGTTGTCAACGTATCAATGTTTTGTGGACTGTGTATTTATTTACTTATTTATATATTTGCCGACGGATTTACACCAATTTTACAGTTTGATAAGGATTAGGCCTAAATACGATTATCATAAAACATGATGACACTATAAAAACTTTTAAATAAATAATTTTGCTTGTAATTTGCTTTGGTTAACGCGTAGCAAATCCCCTAATTCAATTCTGTATTTCTGTGAGTATGTCTGTTGATAACGCATTAATGTGCTTGATTCTCAGTGTTTCGTGGAAAAGACAAGAGCACCTTTGTTAATGAAAATTTCAACCTGAATAAAGTGTGCAGTAGTGAGGTTGATGTAGTATTTTAACTATTTTAAACCAGTGTGAAAGGTAATTTCAATTACAGGCCTACGTTAGGGCTATGCCTGATAGATCTAAAAGAAATTCCTTCTATCATTAGATATAAAATATGGACTAAGACGATCGGGTGAGTGATATTATATTGCGAAGCATTCGTATATTCAGTCTTTTGTAAACATGTTCAAACATTTAGTATGTTATAGTCCTTTATATTTTGAACAAAATGGTACAAATCCCATTTCTGTAAAAATTACGGTTCAAAAGTTATTGTAAATTATGTTATTTTCCCATAAAAACCTCATAAAATAACGAAAAAATCGGATTTTCCCAAAATTGGCTCGAAAAATTTTGTTAAAAATTTAGTATTTTAAAGTCCTTTAAATTCTGAACAAAATTGTACAAATCCCATTTCCGTTTATTTACTCTCACCGCTTACACATGATAAAGGTTGTTGGAAACCTTGGTTGGTTTGGTTGTTGGTTGTTGACAAACTTATGGGAGAAAGTATGTGTCAGAATGCTAATACCGTTTATTTAAGCTCTTTATAAAGGCCTGGAGAGAAATTGGGAAATTTTGTGTTTAGAGGGTCAAAAATTAGAAAAAACAATTTTTACCCCATAAAACCCCGTTCCCATGGTCCGATCATGCTGGTTCGCGAACTCATTCAAGTTTATCCCGCCTCCCGCCTTACACCTTCAAACAAAATTTCATCAAAATCGGACAAAAATTACTCAAGTTATCGTGTTCATGGACACACATATATATAAAAATTTGAACGAATGGTGCTTTTGGCCTCTGGGGACATCAAAATGATAAAGTAAATCGGTTCCGGGCGTAGGTCTTACCATGCCACTTACGGTAATAGCTACCTCATTACAGGGAAATTCGCTAAAATGTATGGGATAGGCCAAGTAGTTACATTATTGAGCCCAGTAGCACTAGTATATTATTTATAATTGAATACATTATCATGTATTTTTATATTAAAATACATGTGTATACATCGAAATGTCTTACTGAAAGTGCTATTTGTATCTCCAAAACATTTTTTGTGTGGGAAATTAGCATATTGTGCGGTGACGAACTGAGACCTGCTGAGACACAAAGGGTGGGTGAGCGAAGGTAGCAAACCAGTGAAAGTGAAACGTGCGGTGGGACAATAGACAAGGGCTAGGACACAGGCTGAGGGTAGTCGAGTTGATGCTTTCAAGTTTCTAGGTAACACAGGGTTGTCAACAATCTCAGATCCCGTTATGCGACAGCCACGAAACTGGTGGACAAGGGTGGTACTATTACAAAAGTCTGTTTTGGGAGGACTGTGTTGTTGCTCGTGACGCCTGCAAAATATGGGATACGGGGCTCTATCCGACCGCCTCTTAAGGCAGTAGCCTTGGATTAATAACATTATTCCATGGTCCATATAAAACATAATTCTTGGAAAGATAATGCTGTTTGGCTACAGCCACATGACTAAGTCCAAACAAATAAAAATCAATAACTATTTTTCTATAGTTTAATGTGTGTACTGCATTAATACACCACCACTCAAGAAATAAACTGTTGTTTTTTAATTTATTGACATTTTATTTATCAATCTATTTAAATTTAATACACATTAAGTACTGTACTATATAAATAAGGTCTCATTATAAAGATGCTCTGTGCTTTTATTACCCTTGACATTGACTGACCTTGATGACAGGACTGCTGGCCGAAATGACCTTTATAACACGGATCCTTAACAAACAATAAGAGCACCTCGATAACTAGACTATTTTCCTTATCCCCTTTGTGAAACTTTTTATTAAGGTTGTAGGCTAATGCATAGATTTTTGTTTGGTAGCCAAGTATAGAATTCACTTTAGATCAGGTCGTGGGTGGACCTAAGGAAATCAGAATTTGTCCTCGGCTTGACTTATTTACCGTTGCTGAGAATTTCTAGCATTATCAACATCAGTACAGTATACGGACACAAATTAAAAAGGAGATGGAAATATATAAGATCATACCTAGTTTAATGTTTTAGCAACAACTAATAATGTAATTAATTTCTGTTATATTTGCCAGTGATAAAGTTTAATTTATGATACACTAGCTGAGTACCCGTCCTTCGTACGGGGTTGGTATATAATGCTTATTGTAGTTAAATACTCGTGCTTTGCATTTGCAATGAGAGAGGACACGTTTGAGAAAATTGGGTTTACTATAATCTACGGTATACCATAGTATATAGAACATCCTACCATAGTCATAATGTTCTACCACTGCACCTAAACAATAGGAAGAAGTAAAGTTATCACACTCAGATTTTTGTTGCTGCTTGGTTCAAATTAGCTGTTGTCATAAATGTAAAGAACTAATGGTGCTTACCCTGTTGATAAACCGTATAACCTTTTAATGCTATTGAATATCATAGAAACAAATTGTGTAGTTGAAACAACTGGCAAAATTATTTAATTCCTTTTAAATATGAATAATCATAAGGTTAACCCTTAGAGTGCCAGGCGAGAAATAAAAGTAACGCTCAAAAAATGCCGATGATTTTTCCCGAAGGTCGCGCTAAAAATGCCGAGCGCGATCTGGCGATTTTTAGGTTAAAATTTCGTAAAAATCGAATTTTCGATATTTCGACCAACGAAAATCGATGTATCGCATCTAGTAACTTTCGACTCAATGTTAATATATGGGTTAAAAGAATCCGAGTATCCATTCGGTTGTTATGACAACTGTTCGATCATTACGAAACGTCCGGTCAGCCGGACGTTGGCACTTTTGGCTCGTTCTAAAAACGTCCGGTCGGCCGGACGTCGGCACTTTTGGCTCGTTTTAAAAACGTCCGGTTCCCCGGACGTTGGCACTCAAAGGGTTAACATGGGAAACCCTAGAGCCGCTAGGGTGGAGCCCGAAAGGATTTTTGAGGTAAAAATATGTCTATATGTTAATCGGGAATGTAAGCTATCATCATACCAAATTTCAACACAATTCGACCAGTAGTTAAATGCGTGATTGAACTTCAAACAAACAAACAAACACACAAAATTTCACATTTATAATATAGGCTAAGTATGATTTATAGCTTCTAAGTTTAGGCATGCATAGGCTAATACAGTACTGTATAAATTACACATTTTAACATTAATATTTTGTTCCAGCTGGTGTTGGTCTGAGGAAAATGGGGAAGAAATCATCTATTGTATGGAACCATTTTACAGTGTCAGAAAAGGGAGGTACAAGGGCTACCTGCCATCACTGCAACAAAGAGCTTTCGTACACCCTCAGCACCATGAGTAATTTAGGTAGACATATGAAGAGCAAACATCCAGAGTTTCTTGGCTTGAATAAATCTGCAAATGAATCAACAATGGAGGTTTACGAAATCGAAGCAAATGAGATTATTCATGACGAGCCAAAATCTTATGAAATTTCAATGAGAAGTTTTGAAGAAATGGAAGACATAGACGAGCCTGGTCAAAATAATGAATCGGCAACAGCATCTGAGGAAATTGTTCAATCAACACCAGTAGTCGTAGCCTGTAGCAGTGAGAAGAAAGATAGGAAAAGAAGCAAAGTGTGGAATCATTATCAAAGATCACCTGGCAATAAAAGTGCAACTTGTCTTCATTGTGGTAAGGGGATCAAAATGGGCACTATTAGCAATCTTGCAAGACACGTGCGACATGTACACCCAGATGTACCATTTATTTACACTCATGAACAAGCCTTAAGCTACAGACCTTCCCAAGTCTTAAAGGCTGGTGGCAGTAATACGAATAAAGAAGAAAGCAAAATGAATAATGAAATGGACATAAGTTCAGAAGTTATAGAATTACATGTTGACGACTATCAAAATCCGGAAAATGTGATTGAAACAACGGTACCTGAGAGTAATTTAACAGAAGACAGAGACGTGGATTATGGAAGTATTGCTCAGCCGTCACAGACAGAAACACTTAACATCACTGAAGATTTTGATATGCACGACTATATTAAACCAAAAGAAACATCCACTCTTTCAGAAAAAGCAGACAGGCTATTGGTAAAAATGATTGTCAAGGGTTGCCATCCGGTCGGAATGGTTGAACAGAGAGGATTCAAAGCATTTATAAGCGCCCTTAATCCTAAATATGAATTGCCCTCTTTAAGTAAAGTGACAAATGAACTCATACCAGGATTTTATAAAGAATGTGAGTCAAGGGCAGTTAAAAGTCTGCAAGATGCTGAAGGAATTTGCCTTTACTTAGATCAATGGAAAACTAAAACCGACTCCTACATGTGTGTTGCTGCACATTTTATAAATAAGGAGAGTAAGTTTGAGTCCCTGTTTCTAATGTGCCATGTTCTAAATCCTGTTGAAACTGTAACCGACATTTCGCAAAGACTTGTCGACTCAGTTTCTGAATGGGAAGTTTCAGACAAAGTGGTCGCTGTAGTAACAGACAACTCGGAGATGATGGCTGAAACAGTCAAATATAATAATTGGGTTCACATTCCTCATTTCATGAAATCATTGTCTCTTATTATTCATGAAAACTTTAACATTATCAAAAATATTCTAATAAAAGTCAAGAACATAACAGCAGATCTGAAAAAAACACCTCATGCCGTCGCTGAAATCTATTCCAAACATAAAAGTCTAGGAAATCCTCCTGTAAAATTGTTAATCAAGGTTAACAATCATTGGAACTCTAGTTTCACAACTCTTGAAATGCTCTCAAGGTTCACCAAACTCAAGTCTGCAATCATGCATGTGTTGCCAGGTGTTTCTGAATACAATATGAGCGAGAGTGAGTGGAGGATATTAAAGCACTTTGTAGAAGTATTTGAAATCTTCAAAGAGATAAAGCAAGAATTCACAAAAGAAGAAAGGTTGTGTATGTCAAAGATTGTTTTTTATATAAAAAGTCTGAATGAAAAGATGAAGGAATGTCAAAAACAGATTGGCATGCCGAGTGATATTATTTTTGTAGCCACAAATACAATCACACTCCTCGACAAACATTTCAGTGACTTCATGGGAAACGATTTAGTCTCACTCATGTTGATGTTAGACCCACGCTTGAAGAAACATGCTTTTTCAGATGAAACTGAATACGCATTGGCGTGTTCCAAATTGAAAAAGGAAGTCTGTGAAGTTTCTGTACCCGAGTCAGAATATGCTGAACCGGATCCCATGTCTCTTTGGTATTCTTTCGATCAAGAAGTTATAAAGTTGAATGGAGTAAAAGATCCTATCGGAAAAGGGATTCTAGAGTTTGAAAATTACTTACAAGAGCAGCTGCTCGAAAGAGATAAAGATCCATTGATTTGGTGGGACAACAGAAAAGCAATATATCCTAGGCTTTACAAACTGGTTAGGAAATATTTGTGCGTAACCAACAAATTGTACACTCACAAAGATTCCATATCTAAAAAAACTGCATACATGCTTTCTCAGCTGAGGAATTGTGAGTCCAATGTATCACAATCGCAGATGATGTTCCTACACCATAACATGTAAGTCATATGAAATTTCTTTTGATGTTAAAAGGATATAAATGTTCTTCTATCAGTAAAGAAAAAAAATTTAGTTTAAAAAATTGATAAAATATATTCAAGTTTACTTAAAGCTATAAAATGATTAACATTTTGCCTTCTCTTGTAAATGAGGTCAAATGATAGGCAAACATTTTCCTGTTGTACTATACATTTTTATCATTGTAAATAACTTTAATGTAAATTGTAAGTTTTTATCTGCTATTTTAGTATAATTGAAAACAGTAATCTTTGTATAAAATATATTGTATAAATGTATACAGTATGACCAAAAATGTAAAATAGTTTCAGAATGATTGATTAAGGTAATATTTTTCAATAAAAATATTTTTCAATAAAAATATTGTTCAATAAAAATATTGTTTAGTATTTCAATAGGCTACTACTGTTATCATTATTATAAAGTTATTTCCATACACATCAATATTCACCTATTACTTTTATTATTTTAACTATTAATTATAACTCTTGGTAATTTAAAATAAAAAGATGGCAATTCAAAAATACTCAAACTGTGAAAATTGGTAAATTAAAATAAAAAGATGACAATTCAAAAATACTCAAACTGTGGAGATTTAATAATTTAAAATAAAAATATGGCAATTCAAAAATACTCAAATTGTGGAAATCCTTGTTCTAAAGAAGTGAAGGAATGATGAGATGAAATTCAAGTGTCCTAATCAGTTTGATGTTAATTAGAGTTCAATTTAATATCAATCTCTGTTCTAATGCTTATATTTTTATATACAGCATATCGTTTTTGTCAGTTCCAAGATATACATTTTCAAAGAGTTAGACTACCAATATAGCCTACTATAATAGACCATTTTTTACTAAAATGTGTTTCTTATTGATGGATTTGAATTAGAACATTGATTTGGGATACTGATAGTAAAGTAGACAATCCATCCATTTGGGAGTGGAAGAATGTTAGTACCTAACTTATGAAATTGGATAGTTTGCCATACTAGCAATAGGGTCTAGGACTTGGGTGCGGGAGGGACGGGTTCGATTCCTCGCACATTCACTTACTTTATTGGGACCACTTTCCCTTAAAAGGGTTTGCATTTAGTTAATTAAAAAGTAGATGCAAGAAAAAAAAGTTGAACAAACTTTCCATACAGTTCACATCTATACAGTTATCCTTTTTCATTGAATTTACCATAAAAGTAAGTTTAAAAGTTGACTGTAGTATAAAATATGCTAGTTGATAATACAAGTTTCAGTTCTGCAAAATAATTGCCAGATAATAAAAAAACCTGTATTTAAAGGCAGAGTTCTGTTGGTGAATAAATTCTTTTTATTCTATAAACTAGCTGGCCCAACAGACGTCGTCCTGTCCTATTGTGGTTTTATGTCACATGCTCGTTCATTTTCAAGATGAGCTCGTTCGCATGGCTCAATCACGTCCTGGTTGAAGTTCGTTCGCTACGCTAACTCGCCTCCAGGTTGAAGTTCGTTCGCTACGCTCACTCACCTTTTGGTTGCAAATTAGCTGTTCTCATAAATAAAAAAAAAAATATAGAGCTGCACCCTGTTGGTAAACCTATTAACTTTTTAATGCTATTGAACATCACAGAATCAAATTGTTTAGCTGCACCAGCTGTTAAGATTCTTTAATTCCATTTAATTATGAGTACTTATAAGGTTAACATGGGAAACTCCAGAGCCACTGGGGCGGAGCCCTTTTGACGGATCTGCACCAAACTTCACACAAACCATCCTTGAATAATGCTTAATAATGCCTGAAAGTTTCATTACAATCTGTCGAGCGGTTTCGGAGTCCATAAAGGACAAACATACAAACATACATTGGATTTTATATATATAGATAGAAGATTATTATGGGATAGGATAAGCATTTTCCAATAGCTGTATCTACAGTCAGAGATCAAAGGGAACTCATAAAGGTAGATTGGCAATACAGCAAAAGGCAATCATTTTAAGATGATTTTTCGGTATCTTGCACTTGAAGGTGAAGATCTTTCAATAATGCGGTATCAATCTAAAGGTATAAAACTTATGGATGTTTGTTTACTCTGTTTTGAGCCATTTTAGCACATTTGGCAGAGGTGGGAGCAACCGGCAGTTGTTTGGACTCTATAAAGTTCCGGGGTGTTTTGTTGTAGCGATTTTTTCATTTATTTTAACCATTTTATAGATAAGAGATAACCACTAAGATAAGATAAAGCAAACATGGAATAATGGCCCGCCGGCCAATAATTTCCTTTTGTCTCTCTAAATTTAGTGTTATTTTTTTTAATACTGTATGAAAGGCAGTTTAAAAAATATGATCTGTTATTTTCAATAATCCAGCACCGTCAAAGTCCTGAAAGTGCCACTATGATTTGATAACTCATTTAGCAGTCGACCGATTGAAAATATAAAAGGAGAATGTCATAAAAAACAATGCTTTGATAGATAATTTTTAGCAGTACACTGATGGCAAACATAAAGCCAGCATGTGTATTAAACAGTAAGCCTACCTGTGTTAGAGTCCCTGTTTTGTCAGAGAAGATGTACTGGATCTGTCCCAGCTCCTCATTGAGTGTGGTTGTGTGGACTCTGGCAGCCATCTTGCGACGGGGGCAGAACATTTTCTCATCCCAGTTTATGAAGAAACTCTGCATGAAACGGATGATCTCCACACTAAAAGCCAAAAAGCATTAAATTAACTGTCTTTGTTCATGGTTCAATATAATTTTTTAAACCATCCATTTAATGAACAAGTTAGTAGTTATTCCTCTAGCAAATTTGTTGAACAGGTTGTAAGGAAAATATTCACATTACTAATGTTTTGGTTTAATGTTTTTTCTATTTTTGTTGAGCAAGCACAAACAATATTTTGGAGGGAAGATTTTGCAGGGACAGTGTAGGATGGAGGAGAGGGCTAAAAGTTTATGACAGTGGCAAGTTTTATCACCAGAACCCTATATTTGAGAACTTAAAAACTGCTTATTAATATTCAAACTCTCACACTCAACCTCTTGTGCACACAATAGCACGTAATTACACTATAAGACTGGAAGTTTTGGGTACGAGTAAGAGTTTCATCGGAGGATTTCATGCGAGTATTGTCACAACATCCCGGGTGAGTCGAGTAGAATAATTTTTGACACATTACCAGCAACAAACACACAGGATAAGTTGAACAAAAACAAAACCCATTCAATCAGATAAGGGTTTAATTATATCTATTATTTTAACAGTTTTCAACATGAACAAAATGTTTTAACCATTTTTCCAATATTTATTGTGAAATTGAAATTAGCTGCAACAACTTGCAAAGTAAAGGAGATTGGTGAATTGTACAGGGTGCGGCAAATAAACCAATCTATTTTCTGCAGAACACTGTTTAGCAACAGGTTGTCTGAGATGGGTGGGGTTAGGCTAGTTGGAAAGCCTACACACTGCCATCATCTGTAGTCATAGAGCAGTGGTTGCTTGAGCTACGCACATTTGTTATTGAGTCATATTAAAAAAGTTATGATTCAGTTATTCCAGCTCAGCAGCAGTTCCGTAATTATTCATAATCAGGGAAACGTGGAGAAGTTCTGTCACGTGACACAATCATGCGGTGGTTTACTAACTTTAGAACAACGGCTTTTGCGTTTGAAAAGAAGCTGACAGGCCGTCCAAAATCAGACCGGATGCCAGACAACTAACATTTGATAGAGTTCGTGCTGCTTTCCTCAGTCCTCTTAGTGCCGCCCGAAAACAAGCATCTGCTTTGAACATGTCTGACCGCTTGGTTACACAAATTTTGACGTAGGATCTTAATTTTCATCCCTACTACAGATTAGTTTGTATTAATCTGTTAATTTTGTTGATTATCCATACAGACAATAAGAACCTCTCCATGTCAACTTGATTGAAAGAATGCGTGCAGTTCCATGCATTTTTTCAATCAGGTTGACATGGAGAGGCTCCATGGGCTGCAATGGCTGAATCATTACTTTTTTAAATGAATCGATAACAAATGTGCATAGCTCAGGCGACCACTGCTCTATGACTACAGATAATGGCAGAGTGCAGGCTTTCAATCAAGCCAACACCCACCACCCCCAGACAATCTGTTACTGAACAGTGCACCACAGAAAATAGATTGGTTTTTGCCACACCCTGTATAAACTCGATCTAGCTTACCGATCTTCTGTAAACCACTTTTTGGCCTGTATTTAGACTAGGTGGCTGCTTAGTGTGTAATGTAGAAAAAAAAATTTCATCCTTTTCCAACAAAAAGAAAAGAAAAATAACATAAAATAAAACATTTACATACCTGACATAAAGTGAGATTGGAACGACAGTGTTAAGTACAATGGCGTAAGAGAAGAAGATGAGAAGAGAGATGATAACTGGGCCTGTTATTCTCTCCGAGGGGATGACCACAGACCACGGAAGGAATATCTGGAAGTTCTTGCCAGTCGTGTACTCCCAAAACAGGCACGCCAGTGAGCAAAATACGCATATTATCACCAGGAATAACACTATCTGAAACAATATGTACATAAAATTAATGGATGTTAGGGTAGTGCTGCCTGCTGCCAAGTTAATAGTTGATTGCGTTTTTAAAGGAAGCCAAGTGGCTGAATAGGAACTTGTTGATGAAAAGATAAAGTTCAGCCATCTTATCTGAATATGAGAGTGCAGGTGTTCAATATAAAAAAAAAATAACTTTTTTATGTATCTTACCCCTGGACTCCAATTTTCTAAAATAAGCTACCTAAACTGTATCCTTTGAAAAATCCATAATTTTAAATTAGGTACTAATTTATTGAAGATTTAAGTAGCCTACTCTATCAGTAATTGTAGCACCATACGATTAGTTTTAGGTTTCATAGTATATTTCTAAGTATCAGAGGCGATCTATTACTTTAGACATGTCTTAAGTAATCTAATGATCACTGCCAGGGAGTTATCAGTAAAATTAACTATTTTTACTGTAAACCAGAGGTTTAGTTCAACTTCAGAAATGCAATTTCTGTCACCTCCCCATGAAAGGATTCATACTAATGGTGGTTATTTACTTGAGCTTCAACTCTCCAGACTATTGGTGGTTTGCCAGTTACCTACAAATAACTTTTTCCTATAATAGTTTTAGTTTGGTTCTTACTTTTTTTGTCATGCTTTACATTTTTTACTAAATAGCCATACAAATAGTTTAGTTGAGTAATAGAGTGGTTTTCAGTTCTCGGGTTGATTATAATAGGGTTGAGTTAGTCATATCAACCCTAAAAAAAATGGCGAAGCTCTTTAATATTTTGCAGGGAATGGATGATTTCCATTGGCTAATAGCATTGATCTCTATTGTTAATCGATGGCTAATAGTCAAAATTGAGAGTCAGTGGTGTAGTCGTAAATTTTTCAGTGTCGAACGCTCACCATTTTCACAGAAAAATCAGGTCGCGTACCAATACTACCAATGTATAGGTTCTTTGGAAAAAGCAGAGTGGGGAAGCTATACACCACTGGCAATAGTTCACATTATATAAGAAGAAAAATTTTGCTTGAATAATAAATTTAATATATTTTACCTATGACTGTTTTTTAAAGTACCGGTAGCCGTTTCAGCACAGTTTTTAGAATTGAAAAGTATCTCATAAAAGCATGTTTACTTTCCTAACAGCATAGTTTTACTCATAACAACTGGGGTAACGTACCATAATGAGGTTCAAGAATTGAGAGAGAAGAAGTAAAATTGTAATGATTGGAAATTCAACTAATCAGCTGTTCAGGCTAATTTAATTGTTGAGTGGTGCAATTAGTGTTTGGTACAATATGTTTTGATGCATCACTGTTAGTGGCAATGAGAGGTTTTAAACTAAAACAATAACCTCTCTTAGAAGTTGTGATTAGTGATTTTTTGTAATTAAAACACTGTCGTAGGTAAAGTAGTGTGCGCAACTCGCGTCGTAGAAGTTTTTAAGGCACTCCCCAAGGCTCGTACCCAAAATTTTCTACTCGTGTCGTTAACACTAACTTTACGCAATCGTTGCGTAGACTACTATACTATAACACACCACATATAATATTTGTTTCTGATAAGGCTTTTTTAAAGGCTTACCCCCACATATCATACATCAAGACATATTAAGTCTACATATCAGATTTTAAAAATGGATTTAGATTTTCGATTTAATTAAGCTATGTAGCATATCAAATATAGATAAATAGATACTTAAAATAAAATCAAAATAGTTTACCCAAATGATAATCTGGTTAAGAAGCTTATCTATGGTGGTTCTCTTGAACTTAGTCTTTCCTGAGTTCTGCATCAGCTTGGTGTCTTGTCCAGCGAAGATTACGACTCCATAGCACCACTCCGTATTGCGCAGCATGCAGCCTCTTAACAGGACTCTGTCATTGTCCAAGCCATAGCTATAAACAGAAATATTGTTGAACAGATAATGAGTAGAGCCTGGCTCCATAACACCACTCTACGCAGCATGCATCCTCTTAATAGAACTCTATCATTGTCCACCTGCTTATGCAAAGTGACTGTCAACGTCTGGTTAGGCATTGAATAGAGAGAGTTATTTATATTATTTTGTGGGTAAATCTTTATGTTATGAGTTTTCAATTCTGTCAAATTAATATATTTGCTTTAGAAATCCTAGAGTCTAAGTGAATTCACAGTGCTTTTTGATAAGCGTTTTAACTGGGAAATTTGAAAATTATTTGGTGCTGCATAGAAAAGATAATCAATTATTTGAGATGGGGGTGCCTCCTAGGTGCGTGTTTTAATTTGAATATGAGTGTAGAATGGTGTGTGATGATCTTTGTAGCTTTGTTACTGACTAAGATCAACTGGTTCAGTCAGGATCATTTTCATTTATATAAAGTTCAATGATCAGGAACAGCTGGGCCCGGTTTCCAACCATCAACAAGCTACTAAATTATCTCAGGACAGGATCAAACCGGCTACCTTTTGATAGTTAGGCGGGCACTTTAACCACTCAGCTACCCAGCAAATCAAAATCAGTACCTATATCATTTTAACTACTGCAGCACTCCTCTTGAACTCTTGAAAAATCTTTAAAAATTCTAATTAAAACACAAAACTTGTAGTAAAATAGGTCATCAGTCATCACAATATACTTTAATAACCGACTAGACTTCTTAAATAGGTGTTACAACTATAGGAGTATAAATAGGAGTATTTCAACTACTGCATTCAGAATTATGAGATTAAAATACTGATAGACTGTAAGCTAACAGATTATATCAGTCACAATGGCCCTCAATAACTCCCTACTGTTGAACTGGTCTTCCTATGGTTCAAGATGTATTTATGGTATAAACTAATAGATCAGTTGATAAAATAACTCACGTGACCCCCTTCCAGATAAGAGTCCCCTGGAACTTGTTGAGTTTGTTGTTGGGCGGCTCACAGATGATCTCCCCGTCAAACTGCCCCAGCTTCTGGTTGTCTTGTCCGAGGCCCACGGTCTCTACCAGACACTGGCGACACTTGAGATTCGTCTCCCTGTCAATGTCAACATGGACAGTAGTAGGCCCTACCTTGATAAGCAGTATATGTAGCAAGTGCGGAGGAAAAAGTATTTCCTCCATGTATTGTGTGTGTGAAGAAGTAAGCAGTGATTAACACAACTAACTTACAAAAGAGCTCCAAGCAGTCGATAGCACACATAAAGCTCAGGATACAATATTATATTTCATATTTTACCCCTAATAGTCCAGCATCTATAGGGGGTTGAGTATGCACAGAAAGTGTAACTCTTTTTGACTTTTGATTGTTGTTGGGGGCATCTTGGAGATGACAAAAACCGATGTTGTCGCCCTCCCAGCAGGTGCACAACTTGGGGGGGAGGGGGGGAAGGTGCTCTGAGACGCGTTCTAGAAAATCGCTTATATCTCGTGAACTAGACACGATAGAAACAAGCTCTAAACGGCATTGTATTAACAACTTCATCTGCTTTAAAAAAATATCCTGGAAAATCCCACTATCTATGATATTAATTGAGTTATTTAACAATTTATTTAAAATTTTAAATAAAAACCCCTAAAAAACGCTAAATTATCCATTAAAACCCCTTTAAAACAACAAAAGTACAGTTTTTCATCGTGCATAATATGTTTTACTCGCTAAAGTGACTTTATATGGTAATTATATCGAAATATTACAAGGTTATGCGAGGTTTCCGATGAAGCGGCACCTGCGCGGCAGAAATCAACGTGTAGTACGGACTGGTAAAAATTGGGTATGTACCGAAAGTGTAACGCATTTTGACTTTTGATTGTTGTTAGGGCACCTTGGAGATGACAAAAACCGATGTTGTCGCCATTCCATCAGGTGCACAACTTGGTGGGAGTGGGGGGGGGGGGGAAGTAGCGCTGAGTCGCGTTCTAGAACATCGCTCATATATCGTGAACTAGACACGATAGAAACATGTTTTAAACGGCATTGTATTACTAACCGCATCTGCTTTAAATATTTTGCAATGAAAAATCCCATATCAATGATAAAAATTGAGTTATTTAACATTATATTAGAAATTACTAATTTAATGTCGAAATACCGTTTATCTACCTATAAAACTCTCATAAAACAATGAATGTAATGTGGTTAGAATGCATTCTATGTATCAACCATCGAATTTACAAAAAATTAAGTGTATTGTACTTTTCTTAAAATAATATGTACGGAGTTCTCAGGTTAGCGAGAAAATAATTATAAGCTATTTTTAACACTAGGCTATTTTAAATATAAAATTTTTACAACAATCTAGGTACAAATACCAAAGAAAAAACTTCAGTTTGAAATGTATGTGGTTTTTATTAAAAGAATATTATAATAGACTTGGAAATGCTGTACTTCATTTTAAATCTTAACTATTATATAAACTACACATAAGAAAATAATGGATACTATTTCAGCCATCTTGTTTGAAACGGTCTTAAAGATAAGGATTTCTACATTTTTTTAAATATTTGCAGTAGGATCTGCAGGATGACTTGTTTGAAAAGCAGCTACAAGTTGATCTAGAACAAGTCTTGCATTTACATGGCTTTAGCAAATTTGTAGGAGCCGGGGGCAGTGTCATAAGAAGGGGGCGCAATTTTCCCGAGCTGTTTTTTGAAAAAAAAACCGTACTGGAATAGATCTCAAGACAATATTTCTCCTGTCAAGGACTTTTCCCAAAAATATAATTGGGCACTACACCGTAACAGGTGTAATTTGAAGCTGTCCGGTGTGCAAGGCATTTTTCTAATGTCCTTGACGGCAGATGGATTAGTTGTGATTGCTATATAGCTGCTGTCATTGCAGGTGCTTCCTTTCCTTCTTAATACTGCTGCTCCTACTGCAAATGTTTTAATAATTGTAAAAATCCTTATCATTAAGATCGTTTCAAACAAGATGACTGAAATAGTATCCATTGTTTTCTTATGTGTAGTTTACATGGTAGTCAGTTTTAAAATGAAGTACAGCATTTCCAAGTCTATTTTAATATTATTTTAATAAAAACTGTATACATTTCAAACTTAAGCCTTTTCTTGGGTAGTTGTGCCTAGATTTTTTTTTATTTTTATATTTAAAATCGCCTAGTGTTAAAAACAGCTTATAATTATTTTCTCGCAAACTCGAGAACTCCGTACTTATTATTTTAAGAAAAGTACAATACACTTAATTTTTTGTAATTCGTGTGTTGAACATAGAATGCACTCTAAACACAGTACTGTTCATTTTCGTTTTATGAGAGTTTTATAGGTAGAAACGGTATTTTGACTTTAAATTTGTAATTTCTAATATAATGTTAAATAACTCAATTTTATCATTGATATGGGATTTTTCATTGTAAAATATTTAAAGCAGATGCGGTTTGTAATACAATGCCGTTTAAAACATGTTTCTATCGTGTCTAGTTCACGATATATGAGCGATGTTCTAGAACGCGACTCAGCGCTACTTCCACCCCCCACTCCCACCAAGTTGTGCACCTGATGGAATGGCGACAACATCGGTTTTTGTCATCTCCAAGGTGCCCCCAACAACAATCAAAAGTCAAAATGCGTTACACTTGCGGTACATACCCAATATTTACAAGTCTGTACTACACGTTGATTTCTGCCACACAGCGGCGTCACTCGCGTCACCGTGCCGCTTCATCTGAAACCTCGCATAACCTTGTAATATTTCGATATAATTACCATATAAAGTCACTTTTGCGTGTAAAACATATTATGCACGATGAAAAACTGTACTTTTTTTGTTTTAAAGGGGTTTTAATGGATAATTTAGCGTTTTTTAGGAGTTTTTATTTAAAATTTTAAATAAATTGTTAAATAACTCAACTAATATCATAGATACTGGACTTTTCCTGGATACTTTTTCAAAGCAGATGAAGATGGTAATACAATGCCATTTAGAGCTTGTTTCTATCGTGTCTAGTTCACGAGATATAAGCGATTTTCTAGAACGCGTCTCAGAGCACCTTCCCCCCCTCCCCCCCAAGTTGTGCACCTGCTGGGAGGGCGACAACATCGGTTTTTGTCATCTCCAAGATGCCCCCAACAATAATCAAAAGTCAAAAAGAGTTACGCTTTCAGTGCATACTCAACCCCCTATAGATGCTGGACTATAAAGGAAGCTTGTTTTGAAGCAAAAGTACAATGTGCTAGAATAATAAAACAACATCTAAAATAGAAACACTACTACACCACTTATTCCTTTCAAAGAAGCTCCCTTGCAGAGGCAAAAATATCAAATTAATTGATTTGAGATTTTTTTATGTTGTCAACTGATTTTTTTATGTTGTCAACTGATTTTTATATGTTGTCAACAAGAACTCTTTTCTTGGGTAAGTTAGTTGTTTATCTAATGTGTTTATCTAATGAAGTTGAGTACCACAACAATTTCTCTGATTACTGTGACACCTAGCTCATAAATAAATCTGGATAAGTGAGAATATTTTACACCTTTTTGTGTGATCCTCTGTTAAGTTTCCTTTTTCTATTTTATACCCCATAGTCCCAGACCTATGTGAGTGATAAGCAAAGAACTAGGTTCAGTAAAAAGCACGGTAAAAAGTTTGGCAGCTCAATCAAATGCTATCATAGCTCTGAAATAAGCCCTAACTGATACCAACTTTTGTGGCCGGTACAGATTGTCACCGTAGTGGTAAATCTTTTTTAGAGTAATAATGTAAGTTATGCATTTAAAATATAGTCAAAAACTAAATCCATCTCAACAAATATGTGCCTTATTCGTAAAGGTAAATCTTTTTGTTTACCCATCAAGCTCAGATGTTTCGATGAAGCAAAGTCCGTTGGGCTCGCTGGTGGACAGCAACAAAACATCAGCCGCCACAAAGTGGTCATTTTCCATTCTAAAAACATAAATCAGCAACCAGTATAATGTTAACACTAACTAATGCACTAACACTAATGTATGGCACTAACTTAAGGATTACTGTATTGAGTCATTCTTTTTATTTCAATCTGGAATCAAAATTAAGGCTTTCTAAAAATTTCTGGTGTGTATTTGCTCCAATATTAAGTTTTGTAAAGATGTTCTGTATTTCATAATCTTCAAGTAAGATTTCTTTTGTCATCATATGCTGCATCATAGGGGACTGATCACAATTAGCCTGATTGGACAAAATGGTCATGACACTTACCCCTGCTGTACTTCCATTGTGAACAGACTGTTTAACTCCCCAGATTATTAGAATGTATACAAAAAATATGTGTCAAGCTAATTGCTATAACACACTTTTTTGTTGCATCTCAAATTTGTTCAAAAGCTTAATAATATGAGATTATATAAACTAGCTGTTACCCACGGGCTTCAACCCGTTTGACTTCAAAGTATTATAAAAAACTATTGATTGGTTAAGTTAAGATGAAATAAACAAAACAGAATACAGCATTACAAACAAATACCCCCGCCGCAGCAAACCTGCAGACTAAGCGAATTTCAACTCGTCTGATACATTTTTACTAAAATATTTCCATAAATAAGACATATTATTCCCTATTTAAATAACATAGATTTAACGAGTGCTTAGGTTTGCTGCTACGGGGAAGGTAAAAAGTGTTTTTTGACCATACGTCAATAGTATAGGATGAAATAAATAAATTTGCCAAATTTTATCAATATATACCCATAAACAAGTAAACTACAACAATTTTCATTTTCTCCATAAGAATAACATGGGAATTTTTAATTACACTATTTTTGAATTTTCTCCGTGACCGTTAGGCATACAACAGCGCTTCAATATACTAAATTATTTCTTTTATTAAGCTCTACAAAACGGTTTAGAAAGAAATCGCAAAATTTTTTGTTTTCAGGTTGAAAAATGGGAAAAACCCATTTTTACCCCATAAAACCCCCCATAAACCCCCGTTCCCATTGTCCGATTATGCTGGATCGCGAACTCGTTCGAATAAACGTAGGTTTACACGTTTGTACCAAATTTCATCAAAATCGGATAATTTTTGCTCGAGTTATCGCGCTAACGGACACATATATATATATAAATACATATATATATATATGAATTTGAACGGATGGTGTTTTTGGCCTCTAGGGACCTCAAAATGAAAAATAAGATCGGTCTCGGGTCCAGGTCTTACCATGAGTACTACGGTAATAGCTTATTCCCTATATGGGAAATTCGCTAATAATCACACCAGATTTTAATAAGGTAATAAATAATTGAAAGAATAACATACAAATAAGAACAGCTGAGGTATTTTTAACATTAAGTATATGGAAAGTTCCCTTTGGAAAGCAACTAAGACCTTAAAGGGCAATTTATGAAAAAATGGATAATTTTGCGCAAGGTTTCTCGTCATGACGAACATTTTAAGTATATGGTTTATGGGGGTGTGACTTGTAGTTTTCTCAAAAGTTCATGGATACTTTTGCCTTTATATATAGATAATTAATTCCTCATTTCCAACATATTAATATACCCTCAATTGAGTGACTTTGTACATTACACAAAGCAATAATCTTATAATAGGTTATGTAACCACCAGTGCCTACCTGATAATGTCACCCACATGCACTCTGGACCACCTCTCGTCCAGTAGTTGAGCACCCCCCGCCTCAACTACACGAGCCAATCGATTGTTGACTCTAGAGTCACTTTTGTGTCTTTGCTGTCACAAACAGAAGATACTTCAATATCTTGGCACTCGTGGCATTGAAATAGTCGAATACATTAGTTTTCCTCTAATCGTCTTTTTACCATGTCATTAGTCAAGAGTTTATTTTCCAAAGTGTTAACTTACACAGAGTAAAGCTGAGAAACATGTATAACCTAATAGTCATAAAAAGGATGAAAAAATAAATAGGATTATTACTTTGATATCATTACATAGAGTTAGGAAGTTAATTCTTAGTATTTTAACTGGTAAAAGGAACAGTGAGAAACCTTGTCTAGCATTGTTAACTAAATATGATCATAGACATAAATAATTAAATATAGACTGTCAGCCGTGCTGCTTTTATCATGATTACCATAGGTTCTGGCGCACACCACTGGGAGCGTCGTGTAGTTAAGTAGCACGTACGCCGTAACTACATGGCGCTCCCAACAGTGTGCGCCAGAACCTATGGTAACCGCAGCCCAGCTGACAGTCTATATTTAATTCTTTTTGTCTATGATATGATTAACTGTTTATTTTCCCCGGAGTCATTAGATATTAGCTGAGGTTTGCCAAAAGGTCAACCAGCTGTGACAAAACAAGTAGTGGGAGAACTTCTTCTCAAACCGCCTAAATTTTGTAAACAATTTTTCCATTGTTGGTGTATGTAGTTCAACAATGGATACAGCTGGCAAAAAATAGAAAGCTTTCTAGCAAAATATGGTTCTCAAGAGTTTATACGGCCTCAATTACTGTACTTTTATCAAAAGCTTGCTGTTACAATACAATAAATTACAAAAAGGTGAAGGGTGACTTAACGATTGACTGAACATTTTTGTTTCAGTCAAAGTAATGGTACTGTAAGACATAAAAAAACCCAGCTCAATCACTTGTAATGTTTTCAGGCTACATACATGTTGATAAAAACTTTTTCACAAGAAAATAAATAAGCATTAACTAATAGCTGGAAACATCTCATTCTTTTTCATCTTCACCTTTAACCACATTAAGGAGAGTCAGGACCGTAAACTCATTTATTGGAAAACTCCTCCAAATAAACTCACAAAGTCATCGTAGGCATCCTTGATGGCGGTGAGGGACAGAACTCCTATGAGGGGGATGGCCGTCGTGACAGGAGTCAGTGAAGAGATCACCTTGATCATCTGCAGCAGCATGAGACATAGGAAGTAGAAGTTTGCGAGACGTTGAAACTGCTCAAACAGGTTGGCGGGAAGAAAGGTAAGTATCGAGTACTTGGACGTCTTGATTATGTTGTTCTGCAACACAAGGTTTATGGAAATTGTCAACCAGATTCGCTCTTTCAGTAAAGTAGAATGTATATGATTTGAATAGTATATCAAAGTCAGTTGATAAAAAACCTAAATTAGATTTTTATCTCAATATGGGAAATTTTATTTCAATTAGTATAGATTATTTTACTAAGATGTCTTTGTTTTGTTTATATGAACAGTGAATAAAACAAAACACGTTGAAAGAGGTAAAAAATAATAATATACAAATAAACTTTCTGGGTGAATATTTGTTCAGAAGACATCTTTACCAATTCATTTTTCAAAACACAATGCCATGCTGAACAGTTTGAATACAATTTTTATACCATGAGATTAAATATTTAAAATCTCGTTCCTTATTTCCAAGAAATTAAAAAAAATCCTTGCTCCAAAATCTCTAACATTGTGGGTTTATTTAGACACACCATGAATAACATTAAAGGAATTTATTTGTCTTGAATTAATAAATACATTTTTACATCTTAAGAAGTTAACCATGGTTTTGAAAAAAATAAGTTTTTTTATGGTTATCTAATTTAATGGCATAATAAAAGGTATTAAAAGTAGGCTTAACTTTTAAGCTGTGTTATATATTTAAAATCACTGTTTCCATAATGTAGAAATAATTATTAATATTATGTTTTGTAAATACCTTAAGAGACAAACATTTCACTAATTAATACATTTCACAGTACCGTAGTCACTTTTAGTATTGAATCCATGCTGTATATTTCAGTACAAATTTTTATTTTAAGTCCCTGTATACTTAATACATGCAAAAATCTATGATATCCTAAGAGGAAAGTAGGCTAAATTTAAAATCAAAAGGTTGCTAATTTGGTGGTCAAAGATTTATATGTTTGATCAACTAGTGGAGTAAAACCATAGAGCGCCTTATTGGCCCGGGCAGGCAATCCAGATACTGCGCGAGTATTGCGTCTTGATTGTTGAAGGCGTCGTTAATGTACAGCGTTATTTTAATTGATTTATTGAATAAGTTTTTTAGTCTACTAGTTTCCCGACTCAGAAGAATACCTCGCGTGAGAGATCTATCGTTTTCAATTTTATAGACATTTGGTTACGCAGCTCTAATATGGACTCCGAACGCCGGGTGACAGGACAACCACACAGCTGAAATCTATTCCTGATTAGCGAGATTCAAACCTGTGGTTTTAGGACCTTGAAAGAGTGGCATTGCATTGCTGGTCAGTTTGTCTCTCGCTATAAACAATATTTTAGGGTTGAACCAATTTTATCTAAAGTTTTGTTTTAAGTAATTAAATCTTGTAAATTATTGTGGATATATACATTAACAAATTATCAACTTTTTATACTTACTGCGTATTTAAATTGAGCATTGAATAGCCTATCGTTGGCCTTTATTCGTCTGTGGGGCTCTGCAACAAAATATTTCTGAATATTAAAATTTATTACTAACACCAGTAATTAAACAATCATTATTGTTGACAATCAAGTACGTAATAAAGGTCCAAAACAACATATCACTAATCGTAACAGAAATGTATGTCTTGACTTTTTTTACACAAGTTTATATTTTATAGATTTCATAAACTAAGTAATCTCTTTGAGGATCCAATACTTTGATTTTCAATCATCATGTGCACAACAAATATTGTTGTTATTATATTGCTATGTTGTACAATAATATTGTATGCCTAAGTTTAGTAAGTAATACTCATTTAAATTATGCATATTTTAGATACATGTATTATCCCAACCTCGAGTTAACATAGTATTGTAATGTTAAAGTAAGCTCTCATCAGTAATGTAAGGTTTAAAAACATACTCGTCATAATTGTATAGTTAATTCATATTTAAATTCAAATTGAAAATTTTGTTCCCACATACGTGGTTCAATAAAATTGCCTGATCGACTCGACGTACATAACTGTAGACCATATTGATGAAAACTTAAAAAAACTCCCCCTATAATAACTGTATTGTGGCGATAGGCATCGTTATACTATCATTACTGAAATGTGCATCTGCTACGATTCATTTTCAATAATTATACACTTTGATACCAACTGCATTTAGTTTAATAGATAAAATAACACCAGTTTTATCAATACTCCGGTAAAAGATTCTACGTATAGTTTTATGTTGTGGTTTAGAATATTTAACAGAAAATTTCTTACCACCAGCTCGACATTTAAAGTGACAACGGACATTTAAATTTGGTGGTGGTAGGAAGGGGTGTGCGCTATCACAGCCTATCTATTGAAATTACCTTATTGTCCAATGTCCATTCATTCCCTCAGCAATTCAAACGTCCACCACATTATTTGTTTTGCCTATTTACTTGTATAAGGTAGGGCCGTGTGGAAAGGACGCAGTCCCTACCTATATGATGCAATTTGTAAAAAGTAATATGATTTTTAAGGTCCTGGCTAATGAAACAGCTGATCTCGAGGCTTCTAAAGGCGGGGGAAAATTTTAGACGGGGATATTTCATGAGCTTTAATGATAGAAAATTAATGCAATCATTTTCAAAACAATCTCATTACCAGTACCACTAACGATGAACTTTAAACACATATTTAAACTGCTCTACAAGGTGGCAAATACGTAACATACCAATAAACTTTCTCCTTGCCATAAAAATGTCAAAAGAAATTACAAACGAAAGTCTTCTACAAAGATGCAACTCATCATAAAAAACTTACCGTTGTTACTTCTAGTTATGAAATTGTCCAGGAAAGTTACAAACGAAAGTCCTTAATATGAATGTTAAAGGTGATTTAAATTGTCAAGGACACTTACCAGTGTTACTTCTAGTTATGAAGTTGCCCAGGAAAGTTACAAACGAAAGTCCTTAATATGAATGTTAAAGGTGATTTAAATTGTCAAGGACACTTGCCAGTGTTACTTCTAGTTATGAAGTTGCCCAGGAAAGTTACTAACGAAAGTCCTATGAATGATAAAGGTGATTTAAATTGTCAAGGACACTTACCAATGTTACTTCACCCAGTCATAACGTTGTAAGGGAAAGTTACAAACGAAAGTACAGGAAGAGAGAAGGAAAGAAGCAAACGAATCACTTACCAACATAACTTCTACTGGCAAAGTGGCCAAACGACACTTTCTTACAAAATCGTTGAAAGCGTGTTCAATTCATCAACATCACTTACCAATGTTACTTCTCCTGGTCATGAAGTTGTCAAAGAAAGTCACAAACACATTCTTTACACGTGTAGACCTCTTGATTCTCTCCTGAGCCCTGGGTGTTCGGAAGCTTTCTCTAGGAGTTTGTTTCTCCTCCGACACCAGTGACTCCAACTCTACTTCTATCTCATCCTCCATGACCTCCCAAGGTTCATCCCCTCCTCAGTCCTCACATTCCGGCATTCGTCATCATGACGTCATCAACTTAACATGTGTATCCTGGTTTTAGTAGGGTTTAAATAGTTTTTTATTACTACAGCTTATGTGGGTCACTAAGAGTTGAGAATTTATAGAATAAAAACCATCAACCTTTGGAAACTGAAATAGACATCCCTTTCATTAGACTAGCTGTATCTATTTCCCCCTAAATAACATAGTAGAATGAGTGACTCATGGAGTGTACTATGGTCTAAAACTCTATTTTAACACGTTTTTATTAGCTCACTTTCTAGTCTGTTCGGTAGAAATTTTGCAATCGGTTTTAAACTAACTTCTCCATGAGCTAGAGACTTGAAATATAGCTAACAAATGGATGACAATGCAATATTAAATCGTTTTATTTTCATATTTCCCTTGGGCTCCACCACACCCCATTGGCTTCCAAAGTAATAGTTACTCGTATATAAAGAAAAAATATTAGTAATAGATTTCAAAATTTATCCTCTCGGACATTGAAATACAAAATATATCATGTTGGGGATAACCATCAGGTCGTTGAAATAAGGAAATTTAAGGTATATTTGACATGTTTTACCTGTACTATACAGTAGCATTGTTTGACCATGATCGTCCTGAACCTACTTACTGTTGTTTATCAAAAATAGGCTGGCATTGACAAGGGATTGAGCCTGGGTTACCCCCTGGCCCCTATGTACAGTATGTGGATATGGTTTCAGAAAATGTATTAAGATTACATTTTGTTTCTACATCCTTAGTAGTTTTTTTCACATTTATCTATTTAATTATGGGTTTTATTAAAAGAAAACGTAGATGTTAACCCCTATTGTCACATGAACTCAAATAATGAAGTAACCATCTAAATGATAACATTCTAGTCGTCTATAGGAAAATGGTCTTAATTCTTTCAATACTTTTTTTATGAAATGGTGACCAAACGAATGTAGGCATGTCTGCACAGTGAGGTAGGTCCAGGTTTTATCCCAGTTTTGGTTAAAAGCCTAATGAACAACATAAGAGTTTTGAATTAAAGTTTTTTTTTTATATTTCTTATGTGTTTATTCCTTGTAACTTTAATTTGAAGTAGAATATCCTGACTTCAAGTATTACTGCGTAGGATATACTTAATCTGTTTTATTAGATATTGATCTCTATTAATCGAACTAATAAAATATCCCTTGTAAATTGTATTTTAATAGTTAAAACATGTTTTGATTGGTAAAACATTACATTATTACATTATATACGGAAAATAAGGCCTTTGTATAATGATTAATTTATTACTAAAAAAAAAAACACTAAATAAATCTGTGTTTAATTTAAGTCTAATTTAACTCTTTTGAAAAAATAGGTTGTCTTTGAAACATATACGGTATTTAAATCATCGATTATTGACAAAATTATAACATTCAATGCAAAGGTTACGGTAATTACGTGTAAAAAGCATCATGCGCACCCAGCACGTGCCGCGAGGGGACAGCGCGTTCACATGATTAAAAAATGATGCCCTACTGTCGTTGCGTGAGTGACCTAGAGCCGAATCATGCAAAGGTATTGAACAGACAGTCGATATTGTAATGGACGCCATTGGACCATTAGTCCATCCGTTTGTCCATTAGTCCAATAATCAGTTGCTATTGGTTCTGTACCATTATCGACATTACTAAGACATGACAGGAGCAAGATGATCTAAAGCCAAGTAGCTGGTTGGGTTTTATAAAATAAAAATATCTTTTCTGCTAATTTGAAAGTTCTGTGGCATTAAATACCCATATTAGTATTGACCTTAATCCACAAGAAACCCGTAACATTGCTATACAAACGATGTTTTTGCTGTTTGTAGGCTTTTAGTTCACAATAGCAACAGACAATTTAGCGACAGATCAATTTTGTTTACTCCCACCTTTAAAAAGTTCCGTATTCCGTACTTCAAGACAATTACACTAGAGTTTAGGCCTTTACAAAATAAAACGCCTGCAAAGAAAGACTAATAGGTCCAAGTTATGCTTTTGCATCATATATTTAGATAGTTCCATAGCATAAATTTGATCTCTTAAATGCACCTGAACTGAAATTATTAGAAATTGGGGTTATTGGGGGGGCTATCACGTAATTTAGACGTGGTTTAGTATATAAAAAAAAAAAAAACAGTAAAAGTTAATAGCTCGAGTTGGGAAAAAGAGCTCTATAAAGCGATATGGAATAGTTTTCGAGTTTTGACTGACTATTATGTTGAAGTTAAGTACATAGTTTAAATTTAACTTGTACGATGTAAATTTATTCTTGTCACAGACATAAACATTTGAATTATAATGAAGAGTGATTAATTTCAAAATAAATAACTTACATAGCTAGGGATGTTTGCGTATTAACAATGTGTAGGTAATCACAGATAAATAAGATATGTGAAATGCAAAATCTAGCTTGCAATAAACTGAGGCAAAAATAAACACTCTATAAAACACAAGTTAGTTTTCATTCTCTAAAGTCTTTATTATAAAACACGTAGCGGCTTGGAAACAGTTAATACCACACGAAATTACATCACGGTATTGAAATATGTTGACCAAACTATTTACTTTACAGAACATTCATTTCTAATCCGGGATTCAACAGTATTTTACCTCCTTACTTACAAGAATTTCCATCCACACAGAAAAAAAAACTTATCGATCAACCTGAAAAAAAAACTGTTGAAAATTGACCTAGTTACACAGTTTAAAACAAAGAAAAATCGCCAGAAATCGTCGACAACTCACACCAACAACCGCGCAACAATGACAATCGATGCCTACTAACCAACTCTGGCGGAGAACCGAGGAACCTTTTGGCCACAAACTGTTTATTTATTCAGCAAAGACAATGGCGGTAAATAATGACAACGGTTGAGTGGCACCACTTTCAATCGGTTCGTTAATTATGCAAAACACAAACTTTCATACTTTTTACTTAACGTGGGGGATTTCTTCATTTTTTTATTTGGAATGTTTGGTCCATTTATATTTCTGTTGATGAAAAAGTGGGCATGTTACTTGATTGATGATCTGTGACGGTACTGACGTATCATGCTTAAGATTGGATTGGAGAATCTGGGTGCTTACGTGCCTTTAAAAAGCCCACGCCCGTCATCTTTGAGAATACATAAATCCCGTTTTACTCACTATTAACATATGCAAAGAAAAATCTCCAGTTTTAAATAAATTAATAAAATAAATTAAAAGTCATTAGCCAGCGTTTCTCTGATACATATAAGTTTTTTAGAACAACTTTTGTCATTAAACTATTGTCTTTAAGCTACTGGAACTAAACATTTAAATATTTTAAGAACGTTTTAAACTTAGTTTTAAAGGTATTGCTGGATGCAACGGGTTTTCACAGGTGCAGTATGAAGTACAGTGCACTTGACTGGGTTCAGCCTAAACCCATTAATGAAAAACCATTTGGAGATGTTCTTCAGTGTTGATCTTGTTGATGGCCTCCCTCACGTAACCAGGCTCAAAAGACAAGTGCAACTGGAAATCATACGCATCACGTGTGCAGTACAATGTTTTACACAGCTGGGAAAGTCAGCTGTGAAAAGCGTGTAAAGTACAGGCCCCAAACAGCTACCTTGAGGAACGCCCCGTTTTTTTCCGAGGGGTTCAGATGTTTCACTACCCAATCTGGTAACCTGCAGTCTGTCGATAAGGTAAGAGCAAATCTAGATAGTGATTCTATCGCTAAAATACATATATTTCATTTTTGTAATCAGCATAGTATAGTCCATAGAATCAAATGCTTTGGAGTAATCAAACATGGCAAGTAAGCTATGTGTGGCTTCATCCTTGGAGCTTTGTCCTTGGAATCATTTATGTCACAGAATAAATTAGTCAAAGCTGTACATGTGCTATGATTTTTTCTAAACCTGACTGTAGTTTCAGTAGCAGCCTATTGTCATTCATAAATTGAGATATCTGGTTAATCATTGATATTGGTCTAAGATCTTCTACCTTAGTTGGTGCAGCAGTTTTTTGGCAATGGCCTGACAATAAGTTGCTTCCTTGCATTTGGGAATACTCCACTGATGAGTGACTCATTTACGAGATGTGTGATTGCTTCAATAGCAAACGGACTCACAGCTTTTTACATGTCTATTGATATTTCATCACTGTCTACAGCTTTAGACTTTATTTGATTCTTCACTAGTTTTACAGTTGCTTCGGTGACAGCACTAAATCTAAATTCATTTTTTGTTTCATCTTATCAATGTGTAAGTAATGTAGGTAGTTTAAATAAATGTTTGAAGGGAAGGCATATAAAATATACTGGTCTTAGTGTGCGATGACCTAAATGTGTATGGCAAAGTGTATATTATGACACTTAGGTAGTCCTGAGCGTAATATTAGGAACCTATATTATGACTTAATAAGCTGTAAGCAACGAACGAACAAAGAACTTTTACATTACAAATTTCATTTAGATTCTATACCTAAAAGTCCCATCGCTGTTAAATTTGTAAACTAACCAACGCCATTACATTCTATTCCCTATTGTTTTCTATCATAATGCTTTCGTGTTAATCATTTCAATATAACTTTCAAGAAGGCAGTCGAATCATTTGTTTAGACTCAGCAAAATTATAAAAAACGGGGTTGCAATTTTGTAAACATGAGTTATCATTTCAGAAGCCAAATACATCTTCATACATTTTTTCATAGGTATAGTCTATCCACGTTCACTTTACATGACGGTAAATATACAGTGTGATTGATAAGTCCTGTAACGGTGTAATCTATTTTTTTACTATCATAGACAGAGGGGTCAGATAAAATTATGTAATAGCAGCGTGGGTTAGGTTTATTATCAAATTAAAGAGCTAACCTAATTAACATAAAAAATATCAATGGTAATTAAGTAACGTATTTTAGGCAAGATGATAGAAAATAATATAACAATAATTGGAATAATATTGTGTTTAAATT